TATTTCTTTTGTTTTGACTACCTCTAGTGACTTTATAATGCTCTGCAGAGCTTGAAAGATCTGTTTAAAGTGACCTAGCTGTCAAGTTGAGTAGTAGGACCTTCACTAGATCTAAGATGTTTTGTCCCGTATTCCACATTGCATTGTTACGCATTAAGACCATGGACATGGGTCACCAAATCCATCCTTCTCTGGCCTAAAAGATTGTGATGCCTATGGATTAAGGTCTAGGACATATGAGGTAGGGAAAGGTGGCATTCCGTATTCCACATTGCATTGTTACGCATTAAGACCATGGACATGGGTCACCAAATCCATCCTTCCAGAGAAGGAAGATTGTGATGCCTATGGATTAAGGTCTAGGACATATGAGGTAGGGAAAGGTGGCATAATCCACAAGCAATGATGCATGGGCCCTGCTCAGGACCACCCATCATTGCCCCAGGAGCTCTGCAGTACCTTCAAAGGAAGAAGAAAGGTCCAAGCAAACTTTATTCCACTGATCTATATCCCGAGCAGGCACATGCACCACCAGCCTCCCGAGACAAATGCCTCTGGCCTGAGCAGAGGTCGTCACTGTGAGCCCCCTGCTGGTTAAAACCAAGCTGGCATGGCCCCTTTCCCGGGCAAGGTGCTTGAGCTTGAAAGGGAAGTGTGGTGTTAGTGTAGGCTTCCTGCTTGTTGCAGTGGGGCCACGATACACTCCTTGGTCCTGGACACTTTAAACAGCCAGTCAGAGAAAGGACATTTGAGTTTTCTTGCAGTGTTGGGAGGCAGGTGTTCAAAACTTCATGCTTTTCCGGTGCTCTTGTTCCTGATGCCAGATACTTCCTGTTTGTCATTCACCCCAGGCCAGATGTGGATTGGCTTTTCTGACTCTCTGTGGCCTGGCCTTTCAAAATTAAGAGCCTGCTTTCCACTCCCTAGCAGCCTTTAAAGTGACATTTCAAGGCAGTCTGTGACTGGCCTTAAATAATAACTCACTTAACACAGAAAGACCCTCACCTGGTAAGTGACATGGATGGCTCAATCCATGGTTACAACAAAGTTGGGGGTCAAGACCGAAAGTGCCTTCCTCCGTCCAGGTGCTAGCAACATACTCTAGGTCACGGAATGCTCAGAGCCAGAGGAGCCTCAGAGGGTAGGTAATTTACAGAAGACAAGTGGATTTAGAGATGGCCAGTGACTTCCTCAGTTATTAGTGCCAGAGAAAGAAGTTGAATGAGCTCTAGCTTCATTTTTCCACCAAAATTTGTCTTTCTTAATGAAGTGCTATTGTCTTTTCAAGAGTCTGAATGACATAGCATGTCTTTGGGAAAGCTTGTTGAAATGGGGTCATTCTTTATTTTTTCTTTCCCTTGTGTTTGGATAGGCACATGCCATGGTGCCCATATGAAATGGGGCCATTTTTATTAGCTGCAACCATTTTCCTCCCAGGCTTTCCCTGGGACAAAGGCATATTTTTGAAATGTTATAGCTTTGGCTAGGCTGGAGATTTATTTTCTAAAAGACAGCGGTTACTGAGGGGAGGCTCATAAAGCAAAAATGCTATTCTCTAGGATTCTGAGTGCATGAGGGTGGCATAAAATATAACCAGAGTGTCAGAAGGCTCAGCGTTACTTGTACTGACATCAAAAGTCCTGGGTTCATATCCCAGCTCTGCCACTAACTCTCTGGCTGTACCCTTGCACAAATCACTATATCATTCTGATCCTCAGTTTATACATCTGTAAAATAATGGGAACAAATAATATTTGCTCAGCAGTGCCCCCTGAAGAGATGGACATTATGATGCTGGATAAAATGGCTTTCTCCATCCTGACCTGTATCCTGGTTCCAACTTGACCTTTTAGCCAGAAATAATTTGGAAACGTCTGCTCTGTCTTGGTCTGTTGATACACCATGGTTCTGCCCAACTATGGGTGTTGAAAGAATTTCATGACTTGTTATGTCCAAGACGCTTTAGACAAACACAGAGGGTGTTGAATAATAAGAGTTTTAGAATGTCATGGATCTCCTCTGGTCACTTCTGAGGCACAAAATCCCAGGGCCAGAGAAGAAACATCAGGGCATCTCCCTCTACCAGAAGTTTGCATAGGACATCCCAGCATGAGCTCACCATTAGTTTTCTTTATATCACATAATCCCTTAGTAAAATTGAACCTCTAGTTTACCACAGCTATACCATTCTTCTCTTCCTTGAGGCTTCACCACCGGGTGTCCTTGGGCATGCTAATGGCCAACCCAGACTGAGGTAAGTGGTATCAGCAGTGTAGGTGGGATGATCTTTTCCTCTTTCCACCTCCACAAAAGTTCTTTCTTACATGAATTCTTCTTTCCTGTTGCTCTCCCTCCTGCTCCTGAACCACTGCATGCAGTTACTGCCCCCCCGGGGGTTCCTGTGCATTTGTGATGGTTGATAACCGACTCTAAATGCTAACATTTTCTTCACTTTTTAAGGGTTAATGACTGGAAATTCCTTACTCCTTCCTTTGTGACATCTAACCTTATTTCTGGACGCCTGCTGAGTGAATATGGAAAGTTCTAAAATGTGCCGTTCACGTTACACACTATCTCTGCTTCCCAAATACTTGAATTCAGCAAAATACAAAGGCCACCCAATGCTTCACCATAACTCAGGGCTCAAGCATGCATGTAAAAAATCAGGAAGGGTAACCACTTTCCAGTGTTCTTCGGTGCTGTATCATTGACATACTGCTATTCTTAATTTTCAAATTTAGAAATGTGTCGGTTACTGTGAATATTAAATTGACTTTTATGGGATATTTGTTTTACCCTAGAGTCTATGCTCTGGGACTAAAATTTTCTAATCTGGGTTGAATGTATATGTATTGTGATTGCAACGCAAGTCATCCATACATTTAATTGCAAATATCCCCCAAAGGTATAAGCATAGAGATACTTCCTGTTTTCACAAATTTCTCTAAGCTCAGCCCAGTAGGTAAAACACGAAGTAGGCAACAATCAGAAAATCTCTGGAAGGATTTCTTCGCCCTACATTATTCATTCTTTGTCTCATGTCATCTTCTCGATATCCAGTTTTCTTGATGTCCCTGGTACCCAGGCACGGATTGTGTTAGATGAGAAACATAGCGGGGAGGGAGTGGAAATAACTACAGAAGAGGAGGAAGCGCTCCTGGCGGGAGTGTGGACCGGCTGAGTGTAGACACTGGTTAGTCTGAGGTGTGAGGCGAGGCCTCTCTGACCTTTCAACCTTCTGGAGGCAACTTTTAACAAACAATCGATGAAACTTCCCTCTCTGCTCCTTTCAACAGCCGGAGCACTGGGGGCCCTGGGGCCTTGGATGGGAGGCTCTGAGGTAGGATTTGGAGGGTAAGGTACCTGGAAGGCAGGTAGGCAGGCTTCTCCCCAGCATGTCATTGATCCAGATCCCTTGGGCAGAACAGGTATATATTCCTGGATGAGTGAAAAATGATGGGAAAAGAGAAAGTAAGTGATTGATATGCAGTGCACCAAGAGTGGATCTAGATCTGGGCTCTAAGTTTGTCTCATCAAATCTTCTCACTTTGCTAAAGTCTTCCGAATGGTTTGTCCTACTGTTTCCTCTGAGTCAGTTCTCTCTGCAACCTGAAGGGTCTTTCTGAAAGGGGAATCTGACCATGTCCTTCCTTAGCTCAGAATTATTGGTGGATCCTTACAGTCTTCTCAAACACATACCACCTCTCAGGCAAAGTTCTGTGCAGTCTGACTCCTGGCTGTGTGAAGGCTGCTCCCCACTCCACCCGGTGAGGCCCATGCCCTGACAGGTGCCTCCTTCTCATTAGTCACAGAGACCTTGGTTCGTACAGTTCTCTGCAACATGTATATCCTGCCCCCGCTCTTTCATTTAAACTCTTTAATAAGCCACATTTGTGTCTATCGTCTTACTGAAGTCTCACAATTACTCTGTGATCTGTATCAACATATCCTTGTTGAAAGTGGGGATTTGAAGACTTAGAGAAACTGGGAAATGTTTTCTAGTGCTTGTATGCCACAGGGGCAGAGTGGAAGGGACTTCCCATCTCTCTGAGGCTTCCTTTCTGCTGGGGACTTTGAGTGTGTGAGAGGCTGTTGGGGTGCCCAAAGCTTCACTCTTGGGAGAGGTAGGGCACTTCTCCAAGTGTTTCTCCTCCCAATTCCTCTGAACCTTGGCTGTGGCCAGTGGACTGTTATTAGTGGTTCTTTTGCCTAATCCCTGGGGCAGCCTGGGTCTCCCTGCTCAGTGGCAGGGGTGAGGTCTTGATGAGGGCAGCCACAGCTATGCTAAGTCTTGGTCAGGGGTGTACAGAGACACCTGGCAGGAGAAACAGATCGACTCTCACTCCCCAACTCCACCTGGGCCCTGCACCTACGAGAAGAGCAGGTCTTTGAAGGAGGACTCCTTTGAGGCCTGCCACACGACTCTGATGTGGTTAGACATTGTACTTGACCAGCAGCTGAAGCAGAGACTGTCTGTAGTACCAACCCTGGTCAATTCTTAGAAACCTCAGCTCAACCTTACACTATATGAATAAATTTATTTTGGTAGAATTTAGGCACTCTTTAAGTTCTTATTTTTTTCCTTAGTTGGGTCCTGTACTATTCCTTCATGCTCCTCCAACTGGATCTATTCTCATCAATAGAATCAGTGTTAGATTTTAATTTAAAAGAAAGAAAGAAAAACAAAACAAAACAACAAAACTAAAATGCCTGGGTTTCGGTCCTGAGATTCACTACCTGCCTCTCTGAATGGATCATTAACACTGGCTTGTGGGATGCAAGCAGCCCGTGAGATGATATGTGAGAACAGACTTTGTGCATCGCAAGGTCCTACAGACTTATGAGCAGCTATTCCTAAGGGAGCCGTTTCAGTTCCCAGCCTAACTCCGAGGCCCAGAAGACAGGAGGTGGGAGCAGGATAGTTCAGGATGGCAAGCTTACCTGTGATATTGTGAAGCATCTTGTAATAGGGCTGCTGGCAGGTGAATCTGATCTCAGATGTGTAAGTGGTGAGGTTGTTCTTCGTGCAGAAGGTGACCAGCCCATGTTCCAGTTCTGCTGGGGTGCCACAGTCTACAACTGAGAGAAAATAAGACCCCTTAATTGCTCTTTGTGCTTTCTCTCAGTGCCGTCTGCTGGATCCGTCTTGCACCATTGTGCAGGTTATGTACATATATTCGTTATCCCTATATCCAGAGTCCTGGGAGAATTTATGGTCAATAAGTATATTTCTAGAGTCCTGATAGAACAGCGTTATAGTAGTAAATCTGAGTGGCTCTCATGACATGGTACAGCATACAACTTGTACAGCTACTAGTGGCCATTATGATACTACTATATGATCAACTCACCTGCTATGGGATCACTCTCAGGGCAGGGACAGGTCTGCTACGATTGATTGAAGGAGACCCCACTTCCTCTCCACCAAAGCCTCTTTCCTTGGCTTCCAGTCTTATATGTAATCCTCTCTGCTTCTTTTGCTCAAGCTTGACACTCATGCCTCAGAAAGAAAATTCTGGGGGACATGAACCAAAAAGTCTTCCAGTCTTTTAGTCCCAACCACAGGCTAAATAAGAGCAGATAAAGTGCTCACATTGGAGCTTGGTGCACGCACAAGCACAATAACCAACAGAATGAGAAAACACAGCTTCTTCCTGCCTGAGTACACAGCCACACCCTGCTGGCTCTACTGACAGCTTACTGGGCCACAGAGGGTAGGAGAGGGTCAGGGTGGACCAACTTTCAGTCTTCACTTGCTCATTTTCTCCAGTTGTTGGTATCTGGAAGCACTCACACTACAGAACATGACCAAAGAGGCCTGCTGCTCAGCCGTGCATTTTGGGGAGCTTGCCAGTCTAATCAGCTCTCAGGGACTTGGTAGCACTGGTGGAGTCTGGCATGAGTCGGCCCAGGTTCAGGGCTTCTTTCCATGGTCATGTTAGAGGCTGAAGCTGAGGGCCTGATTCATAAGTGTCTTTTCAGGAGCCCCGTTTAGAAGAAGAAATGATGCTCATTTACTTCTGAGACAGTCCTCACAGCCTGAGGCAGAGTTGAAGAATCAGAGGGGGACTGTGGAATTTCACAATCGGAAAGGAACCCCAGGTAAGCAATCCAGAATATCCATCCTCTTTAGTTTTCAGATAAACCCAGAGAGGAGGACTTGATTCATGTAAGGACACTAGAGAGCTCATCAGTTAGCACTAGAGCTGTTCTGGAACTCAGTGCCTTTGTAGTAAGTAGTATTGATTGCTTGTAATAATCTGTTTTCCTGCTCAATGGCCTATCCTAGATATTAGCTGGTGGACAATTTTTGTCATTTTTTCGAGTCCTGGTGGAATTTCTAAAATTCTACCTTCTCCTGATTTCACCTTCTCATCTTAGGAAATACAGGGGCAATTTATTCCTATGTGCTAAGTAAACATTGTGATTTTAACATTAGGTTTTCTAATTCTTCTTTTCTGTCTTCAGAGAGTTATCTAATTTAAATATGTAGATTTCAAGGCCCTATAGGTTGCAGGAAAGTGATAAAGGAAGTAAGTAAGTGTAGGTATATCTTATGTACAAGGAAGGCAAAAACCAAAACACAAACAAACAAGTGATTTTTTTTCCTGGCCACTAACCTCTCTGGACAAATCATTACCATCTGCTTGGTCACCCAAAGTTGAAACAATCTTCTAGTTTGTGAAGTAAATGTGTACAAGTTAATACCAGAATAATACGAGGTAATACTATTTACTATTTGAAACTATAAACAAATTTTAATTTATTTGCCTACAGAGACTCAAGGCAGATTTTTCCTCTTCTTTAGGAAATGCCACTGTCCAATGGCTAGAGATTACTGATGCTGTTGTTCCCTTAATGTCTTCTAGCAGTTTCTTTAGTTTAAAGTATCCTTGATTGCCTGGTATCCTTGACTGCCTGGTTCCTAGTAGATAAATTCCAGGGCTAGCTTTGGATTTGGGTGGCTGAGGCTGGTGGGGAGATATTTTCCTGGGAGAAGGAATCATTTCACATGACTCCGGGAAGTGAGTCTACTCATTGATAGAGTTGGTTTTATAACCAGAGAAAGAGGGTGGTAAGCAACAGAAAACAGAGGGTCATGTTAATATAGCGATAGTGTTAATACAGTGAATGGGGAAGGGTATACCCTCTTCCCACAGGAACAACAGCAGGCAAAGGGCCGTCACGCTCTGGGACATGGAGGCTACTTCCCTTCACTAGGGCCCTGAGCCTGCCTGGTACTATCAACTGTGTCAGATGCTGTGTCTCAGCTCTCCTCAGCTTGCTTTAGGAAAGGTCTCATCCTGTTTTGCAAAGCTTTCTCTGGTGACTTCCCTACCCTGGAATCTGACTGCCTTCCCTTTCTCATTTCCATAACCTTCTCTGCTTGTCAACCTTTATTATGTGTCCACTGTCACCTCTCACCTTTTATCCTTCTTAGCCTGCAGTTCTGAGCATGCTGTACCACAGCCTGGGACTTTCCTAGAGAACTACACAGATTCAGCTGTCCTTGTCCCTCAGGACCAGAGATTGGGCCCCCATCTCTCTTCCCAGCCTCGTCTTCTTCTTTCCTCACATACAGTTCAATATCAATGGCCTTTCAATGTGCTATTTTCTGGTCCTGCTGATGCCATCACTGCTGCCTGGGACACCCCATGTCCCTGTGATCACCGCTCAGGTTTTGATCACATAATTCTTCTTCCTGAAGATTGTTTCTAATTTTTCTGACTAGACAAGGCAGACTCCTTTTTCTAAAACTCTTTATCTGTGTCCCTCTGATGGCACACACGTGTCTTATGTTGCCTGGTATCACAATTATTTGGGCACATATCAGATCTTCCTCTTCCATTATGATTCCCTCTATCACAATGAATATGATGCTGTGTGGGCTCACAAACACTTTTTCAGCTGACACTTGTTCATCAATGGCCAGTGGTGCCCCTCTACTAGGATGGCACCTCACCTTCCAGACTGCTTGCTGTGCATGCTTGCTGGCATTCTGCCCTCACCAAGTGGCCAATTACTCATCGGGCCTGTTGGGGAGTCGCAGTCTAATACAAGGGTCCTCTGAAATGTGTGTCTAGACCTCATTTAGCCTGGAACAGAGCTCCTGACATGCAGGCTGCTGCTCCTCAGCCCTTCTTCATCGTTTATGACCCGGTGATGTCCACGGCTCCAGAGGTGAGGCCCACGGCTTCCACACGTGATGCCTATCTTTTCAAAAATTTTAACCAGTGAATCCTAAGAAACACAAAGCTTGTAAACCCCAGAGGGAAGAACCTCTAGTGACGGACTTTCAGCCCTGTGTGAAGTATGAATTAGAAGGACTACTTTGTGAATGAGAAAATATCCAGATTCTTAAAAAATCCATACTATTTGGGTTATTATTCATTTTACCTCCTAATGGTTGTTAAGAAAGTAACAACAGATACAAACACTAAAGTCATAAAGTCATCGGCATTCTGGCACATTTGAAGTGTGTAATGGATTAGAAACCAAGGCCCATGTTGATCTGGCTGGACAAAGGCTGCATGATTGTTTGAATCTTGAGTTTCTAACTGAAGGCATTTCTGCTTTGAGAAACGTATAATCCACTTAGAGGGCCTAAAAGTTTGTCCATTGTCTTTTTGTTATTTTCTGATGTAATATTTGAATGAGTGACCCCTCAGAGGATAATTTGTTCTCAGACACCCAGGAACTTCAACTGCTGAGTTGTGTGGCTGAGCTCAGTATCCATGATCCACACCAAAATGGGCAATGGACTGTTGGTGGGTGGGAAGGGGTGCAGTAGCTCTGGGGCCCAGTGTCCTTGAGAAGGATCCATTCCTGGATGCTTGCACTGTGTGAGATTCCCATCATTCATCTGTCACTTGCTCTGCCTGGAGTTCGTTCTCCAAATCAATCTTGCTTTCTGCCACCATAGTGGAGTCAGAGAAGGGTCAGGAGATACAGAGGAAGGAGGGAGAGAGAAAGGGGGGGAGAGAGAGAGAGAGAGAGAGAGAAAGGAGAGAAAGAGAAAAATTAGCAAGCAAAGCAGAAATAGTTGATGCAGGAAATATAGGAACCACTCCACCAGAATTGATTAAGAATGCACAGTTTAGGGATAGTCAGTGTGAAGGACAGTTTGGGATTGTTGAATTTGTACCATTCTGAGAATTTGCATAGTCATACTTCCTGGCTCCTTAGGAGAGGATTATGAAATTCTCCTCCTGCAGGGAGGTTTGATTCATCAGTTTCAAATTCTCAGTTGACGGATAGCAGAGTATAGCAGGACTTGTCTCCACATCACGGTGGAAGTAGGGGCAAGATGACAACTTATAGTTGCCACTTTCTGTTCTGGTGGACACATATTTATCCCACACTGCACATTGTTTATCTATTGCTAGCTCCTTCCCCCAGAATCCCTGGGACTTTCAGCCCACTATGAAAGAGTTGGGTCTATTTTCTTCTCTTCCATTTTTCCTTCTTTGTTACTTTTTATTTCTTTTCTTTCAGAGCTGGGAATTGAATCAAGAGCTCTGCACATCCTAGGCAAGGGCGCTACCACTTAGACTTAGACTTAGAGCTGTAGCCCTAAGGTCATATTTTGTTAAAAGGACAGAACATTCTATTACATCCTAATGTAAGTCATGAAAATAGCACTTTCCAATACAGTAGTGCCTTACTTCTATCAATGCTTCTGTTATAATTGAAATCATGTGTTTCATCAGAGAAAAATATTAATGACATTCTCTACTTTCCAAAAATACAAATGAGGGAGGCACTGAACCCCTTCCTAATGAATGGGTTGAGAAATAAGCTTTTATTGATCATTATTTATTCTTGTTCCTCTAGAGATGTGGTATGTACATTAGCCTGGTTTGTCCTCAGTACAGTCTTGAGGTCAGGAGACCAAGGCCAAAAGAGTCTGAGTAGGTTGCTTGGGGACACTCAAATCATACAATCTGCCTTTGAATCTGGAACTTCACGACTGCAGAGCCAGGTTCTGCCCCAAACATACATCTCCAATCTTCCTATACCTTTTTCAAAGTGACTCTTGCTTTGTCCCACAGGGTGTCTGACTTAGGACTTAGTCACAGCACCATGTTAAGCTGGGTTGGATAGGGTTTGAGTTCTTCCTGCCTGGACTTTATCTTTCCCACCTGAATGCTTAATAGAACTCTGCTCAGGCAACCACTAAATGTTAGTTGAAACTTCTTTTTTGAAGGCACAAAATACCTTTCTTTTCCAACACTGGTCCTGACGATAGCCACATCATTATATGAAAAAGAAAGACAAACATGTTATGCTTCCAAATTCTGCCTGGAACTTACATCAAGGGAGCTCCCCTGTCTACCAGTATCCTCTTTGGCAGGAGCCATTTAGGAGAAAGGAAGGAGGGCAGCAGACCAAAGTTTACACAAAAAGTCCTGAGCTGGGGATGAATGCGACCAATCTTAATTCTCAACTTCCCATTCTCAAGCCAATTCCTCCTTCCCTGATTTACTCTGCCACTATACCTCTCTTCATCACTGCTGCTTCATGTAAGATTTTAAAACTGTGGTCCACACAGGTCTTGCACTGAAATCTCTTGGGTGTGAAGGGAGAGGAGTTACTAGATGCAAATCTCTATTTTTACAATGATCAGTAGAGGATATATATAGACGATATTCTTTTAGAACCACTGGTATACATTGTAGAATATTAAAGCTAGTACAAACTATTTTACAGTTGAGATGAAAAAAAATCTCGTCCATGGTCAAAGAGGGTGCTGTTGTAGAGCCAAGGCACAAACTCCAGGTCTGAAGAACAACAAATAGCTGTATTCTTCTCTTCCTATAGGTCCACTCTACTGACAGAACAGCCAGATCCACACAGCCGTGTGTCATGAGCTTTCCCGGAAGACTCAGTGGATACAGAGGGTGGCTATGTAGACCACAGGACAACTCAGCTCTAAGCAACAGTGCCAAACTGGTTTCCTGAATTGCAATTGTCAGAGCTAGGTTCAAATCTGGCAACACTATTCCTTTAGCAAGTTTGGCAACCTGTCTGGAGACTGAGGTAAAAGTATTTAGAAAGTAAATTGGGACCCACAAAAGTTTACTTTGGGATCCCAACATCTTATTGCAGCAAGGGGCATTAGAGTTCTTTTTGTCCAGCTCTCATGGGTCTCTTTAGTTCTTATCCCTATTCCTCTTACAGAGCTCCTGCCAGGCTTTTGTCCTGGCTTGGTCTCTGCCCCCATCCCAGCAACAAAAGTGAATTCATTATCCTTATCATGAACCTATTTGGTTTTCTTACTTTTACAAGTAGGAATCTTGTTACTCCATGTCCCATCCTTCAGACACTCAATCTGAAATGTGTCCATCACCACATCATCCTGAGAAGAAACCAGAAGAAGGGAGTGAGAAGAAAGAGGCAATGGGGTCAGTGGTTGTTTTCCAGCAAAGTTAACTCATACTCCAAACACGGCTTCACTCAACTGGGATTTTCCCCATATGGACCTCCAAGGGCAAACTGAAGGCGAAGGGTAAGCCTTCCAAGTCCCAGTTCATACTCTGAAAAGGGGCAATGACCATGTGATGGTGGGCCTGGGACAATCATTTAGAAAGAGAAAGCTGTAGCCTTGACTGCTTTTTCAGAACACTGGTCCTCAAACTTGAACAAAGCAGTCAGCATTGCCTGAAGACCTTGTTAAATCACACTTCTGGGCCCTGGGTCTGAATTGCTGATTCAGTGGGTTGATTTGCTTTTCTAGCAAATTTTCAGGTGATGCTGAGGCTGCCAGTCCTGGGGCCCTTCTTTGAGAACCACCAATGAGACCAGTGTTACTCTAGCTTGGCTGCACTTTAAGTTCACCCGGAGAACATATGAAACACACCAAGCACTGGTCCCACCCTGGAGACACTCCTTTAGATTCTCTGAAGTGAGTCTCAGGTGATGATTTGCTTTATTTTTAAGTAGGAGAACCCATATTTCAGAGGGTGGTAGAGTAAGCAGCGCCTGTCCACTACCTTTAAAAACTCAACTTTCCTTTTCAGTATCCCACCCTGCTCTTATAGGCCTGATGAACTATGTTAAAGTTCTTAGCCCTGATTACAGAGATTATAGATTTGCAGGGATTAATATTTTTAAAAGCCAAGCCAGCCCATGCTCTGATAAAAGACTTTGGTGCCAGTTATAGAAGTGAAAGCAGTCATGGACACATGCTTTAAAATGCTGGAGCATTGCGAAGGCTTCTAGGATGGCTAGGAAAATACTGTGCTAGCGCTATGGCAAGTTTCAGCAGCCCCTCTGCCTTGGGAGGCCTGGAGAGTTTCTCTGGCCTCGCCACTCCTCACCTTCAGCACTTTGTAGCCTGTGTCACAGCTGATGAGCACTTGGTCTTTGAAGGAATACGTGGTTTGCAAGGGCTCAATTTTCCCGTGGACAGGAGGCCGTAGCTCCTGGCACTCGTTTCCTGGTGGGAAGTAAATGAAGAGACAGCAGGTGAGAAGACAGAGAGAAGTCTGCCGTGAAGAAGCAGCCCCTAGAAAGCAAGGGCAGCTGGAGGTGGAAGCAGTGGAACTGGTATTGGAAGACTTTGCTTTGAGGCCAGGAGTAAGTCACTTTCCAGTGCCCCCTCATTTCCATACTGGCAAAATGAAGTGATGGGCCAACACGTTTCACTCAAAGTCAGGGTTGGGAGGAATATTAAAGGTCATTGAATCCAACTCTTGCCCCATGCTTTCTTTACCAAGTCTTCCATACCGACACCCAGTGTCTACTTGCAGTCCTGTAGTGACAAGGAGCTCAGTTCTTCCCATACTTGTACCTTCCACCCACGGACTCTTCTGTTCCCCATTTCAGTTGAAATCTGTGCCCTTCTAAGTTTGCCACTGGGCCACCCAGGATGACTCTAGTTATCCTTTCTTTTCACATCTGCTCTTCAAAGCATCAGACATGTGATCTTATGTTTCTGAGTCCTCTCTTTAAAGGTGAACTACCATAGGATCTTCACGTATCCCCGATACTTTTTCCTGGATAAACTCTTTTGTTAATTTCCTGTCCACTCCTGTCCCCAGACTGGGTACCAGGTGAAATCATACAGACAGAGCCAGGGTTTCAGGGTCTATGAAACAGATCAATCATGCTGAACTGATATCCACTCTTTCTCTTTGAGTGTTCAGACCACTTGGGTCCAATAGCTCTATCAGCGTTTGGGTGAAGATTGGTTGCTTTGGGACATTAGAAGTGGAGCTTTTGTCCTTTGCCAGTTTAGGGGCCTACAGGGAGGACACCACCATAATCATACATTTGACCTCCAAGCTACACTAAAATTCTAGTCTCAGACTCAGAGGAGACTGCAGCTGGAAGCCCCTGTCTAGTCCTAATGAATCACAGTGTGAGGGTGGGGTTCAGGAAACAAGATTTCTTCTTTTAATCCCCTCACACAATGCTGAAGTACAGCCATTTTTGAAAACTACCAATGTAGTCCAAACTGACATAATATCGTTGCTCCCCTGACCCCTTCCCTTGTATCAATGGGAAACTAAGTCAGGAGAGAGCATGTGCCTTGGTGCCAAGTTACTCAGCAGGAGTCCCACCCAGGTACACAGAAGAGTCCTGGGCTATATCCCATCCTCCCATGACCTCCATCCTTTTGAGGGCTGAGCGCGGTGGTTCAGTAGGGCAGAGGAGGACAGAGGTTACCTGCAGCCCTGTAGGAGAGCCTCCAGCCCCGGTTCTCGCCTGAGTTGTCACTGTGGAACAGAATCTGGACACTGTGGCTCTGGGTACTGATGGGTTCTGGTGCCTTCTCCCCACAGAAAGGCCCATAAGCATTGGGACCAGCTTTAATCTAAGGAAGGCAGTGCAGACAAAGAGAAGAGTTACATCCAATCTGCAGAGGGGCAACACTGCTATCCTGTACTCAGGTTTTGTGGAAGCCTTGATGGGAATCTGTGGCCCTCACTGGTGTCTTTAGTAGGCCTTGCCCATCACCAAATAGTTTCATGTTTACTCTCTTGTTTAGAATTGATAATGGCCCTGGAAATGGACAAGGCAAGTTAATAATCTTCTGCTCAGTGATGAATGAACTGGGACTGAGAGAAGAGCAGAGCCTTGTCCAACACAAAATAGAAGGTCTCTGTGCTCTAAGGAATCTGCAGCATAGGTGGAGATTAACAACAGATGACCCACAAAATAATTGTAGCCCATTATACAACGGAAATATATGCTATGTATTTATAATTCATTTGTTAAAATCTCCCCAAGCTATAGAATCCATCATTTATACAGTAGATGGTGATATAATAGCCAACAACTTTAAATCAGTGGTCAAGTAAGGCCTTATGATGATGTGACACTGATCTGGCAGGTAGGATGAGTAGGAGCCTGTTGTGTAAAGAGTAGGGAGGAACATTTTTCCAACCAGAGAAAGCAGCGTAAAAGTCAAGGCCAAAGGTGGAAATGAGCTTGGCAGGAAGGAAGCTGTGTGGCTGGGACTGAGGGAGTGGCATGACATGGGGTTGGAAAGGCAGGTGAGTATGATGTGACACTGATCTGGCAGGTAGGATGAGTAGGAGCCTGTTGTGTAAAGAGTAGGGAGGAGCATTTTTCCAACCAGAGAAAGCAGCGTATGTAAAAGTCAAGGCCAAAGGTGGAAATGAGCTTGGCAGGAAGGAATCTGTGTGGCTGGGACTGAGGGAGTGGCATGACATGGGGTTGGAAAGGCAGGTGAAGACTGAGGTGAGGAGTTTAGGTTCAATGCCAAATACAGTCATTATTGAGTCACTTTATCTTTGGATGCTATGGGAAAACCCATCACAGAACAAGGCCGGAAGCAAGAGAACCAGTTGGGAAGTTTTACAGTTGATCAGGAGATGCAATATGGTTTGGATTAGGATGTATGCAGTGTAGAAGGAGAGAAGCCAGTAACTGACCCAGAGTCCCTGACCACTTGTCCTGGCTCTTTCCTTGTACATTTGACCCCTTTCCTTCTGTCTCCAAGGACCAGGAACCCTTAGCTGGAATTTGGTGACTTCTACAATCCTGAGTGATATCCTTCTCTTATCCTGCAGAGGGAGGAGAAGTGAACTCTCAAAAGGCTAAGTACCTGGATGAGGCACCCATGCGAAGCTCCTGGGACACCATGTGTGGTAACCAGAATTTTCAGAAGACCCTTATGATCACACCTCGTGTTACTCTGTGATTATATTATAAATCCTCTCGCCGAACAGATTTTTCAGGGAGTAACACAGAAGGATCTGAGAGCAGGTTCTAGGTGCTGAGACCCACCCCTTGCTGACCATCAGCAAAAAGATGGGAACTTCAGTCCTACAGCTGCAAGGGACTGAATTTGGCCAACAACTTAAACAAACCTGGAAGTGGATTCTTTTGCAGAGCCTCAAGCTAAGAGCCCTGTTTAGTTGACACCTTGATTTTGACCTCATGTGACCCAAAGTAGATAACCCAATTAAGCCCACTGTTATTTCTGATCTACAGAACAGGGTAGTGAGAGTTGTTGTGGGCTGTTCTGATGGCAGGAGTTTAGTACACACCCTTCCCATCTGTAGTCATGCTGCCCCTTAGCCTCTGGATCTAATCCCAGAATGGTCCATGCCCTAAGCTCTTGTTTCCTTTCAGTTTCTTAGCCATCTCTGCTTCTCCCATTACTGACAGCTCCTTTTAATATAGCTCATTTTATGGCTCTTTCTGGCCTATTTTGTGGAGTCTTTTTCTTCTGCCTACCTCTTTGAATTTATCGTACTGTAGCTTTCCTCTATTTTCTCCTCAGGGCAGCCCTCATGGCATTCATATGCTTTACACAGCACTTATTTGTGGACTTTATGGCACCTGCTTTCTTCCCAGCTCAGTGTCTCTCCTGAGATCAGACCCCAATACTCAGTTCCACTTTGATGTCTCAGCTCTCTAAGAATTGGAGATTTTACTTCCCATGTATCTAAAAAATACCTCCCTTGCTATCCCAGCCATGGCTTGATTTCAGGCTGCCTTTGCATCTCAACTATGCTATTGGACTAACTACAATTTGAATAGTTACTGGTCTGTGGCACTCTTTTATTTCTGTTTTGCCTGGCATATAGCCTCTTCCCCAAAGCAGGACCAGTGGCATAATTATGGGGTCCAGTGCAAAGTGAAAATGGGAACCCCTTGTTCAAAATATACTAAGAAGTGCAAAGGGTCAACAGTGGAACATTGACAGAGCATATGCTGTTTCTGAGTGACCACACAGGCTGCACGCCCCTGCACTGATTCTACGCCCATGGGATCTTTCCAGAATGCACACTGGACCTGTGACTCTACCTCAAATCACCCTTGTGGCCAGGGAGCCAGTTTTGGCTCAGGAGAGATCCTCAGAATGGATCTGATTAAGCTGGCAACTGCTTATTTTAAGTAATGTTTTTCTGGGGAAGGTAGCTGCTTGGCTCCCCATCTTGGGAGAGCATGAAAAGCCCATAATAGCAATTTTCCCAATTAAGTCCAGAATTCCTGGCATTCCCAGGAGAAGCTCACCTTGATGAAGTCATATGGGCAGGGCACCTCAGGATGGTCCTCAATGTCAAAAATGTCTTCGAACTGCAGGCTGACCATGAAGCCTTCCTCCAGCTCAATGGTGTAGAAGCATTCAGAGCTCTTAGGGTAAGGGTTGGGATAGTCAGGGCTGGTGATCAGGCCGGTCCTCTGGATGAAGAGGTTGTCGCTGCACTCCACTGTGGGAAACATATGGAGAAGATGGCACACCAGGGCCATAGCCACATCAAACCCTCACTTTTCTGTCACTGTGTGCTTTTGCTAGCGGCCCCATGGCATAAGCAGGGAAGGACGCAGCATCCTTACTTCGCAGGTGGGAAATTGAATCTCCACGAAGGGAAGTGATTTAACCAAAATTATATACGTGTAACCTGCAGTGAAGACTCCAACGCAGAATTTCTAAGTCTCTACCTAGATCTGTTTACCTGTGTGATGACCATTCTCATCAGAGTCCCTAGCACTTGTAGGGGGCGGACAAGGACTCTCAGAAAGAAGGGTTTCGAGATGAAGTGGTCATGGGGGGATTTTTGGCCCTGTTTCCCCCTTTGCCCAGATTCATTTAGGTCTCTACTCAAATCCTTCCTTGATTCTCATCTAATTAAGGACCCTCACTCTCCAACCTTGCCCTTCTTTTGTTTTCTTCATAGTGCTGTCTACTACCTGGCCCTATGTCACATCACTTGTTGATTTCCTTGTTCCCTCTAGACTGTGAGGCCAGCTTTGTTTGCCTTTTCTTTTACTGCATCAAGGACCCAGTGTCCTGGGAAACTGGCAACAACTTAGCGCTGAGAGGAGCCTGTATTTGCCATTGAACTTTTGCCCTTGGGCTGACCCATGTAAGTGCTAGCATATTCGTGCTTCCTAAGTCTTTGTTCATCCCTTCCCATTTGCAAATGAGAAATCTGAAGCCCAGCAAGAGAGGCAAGACTAACAGAAAGTCCTGCAGTGATGAACTGCAGAGGATTTAGATTGAGGTACCCTAAATTCCCATTTGTTTTCATTTTCTACCTCAAGCAATCGCCTGGGGTAATCCTCATCTGAAGAGGGGCCAAAATTGGCCCTAAGAGGAGAGGTTTTACTCTTATGCACAATGCACAGGTAGACACACAGTACGTGAACACACATACGGCATGTCTGTGGTACCAATAAAAGGGAGACTCCTAGGGGCAAGGGTAAAAAAAATTGCGAAGCCACACTCTACTTCAGCTATTGTAGCTCTTACTCTACTCAGCCCATAGTATATGCTTAATACTTACTGAATAAAAATGACATAAAATATAATCCTCTTCAAGACAATTCCTGCATGTTTCTTTTATTTTATACTGCTTAATACTAACAGGTAGTATAGGCTTTATTCAGAAACAAGTAGCACTTTCTGAAAGAGGAAGAAAACTCTGCCTCTAGCCTTGTCCTCCTCCACCGATCACTAACTCCGCTTTCAAGTGAGATCCCAAGCACGGTCCCTCACTCTGATGTCTCAGATTTGATCACACCTTGACGTATTTGAAGAAGCTACGGTCCCTGAATGGAATGTCCTCCTTCCCCTATTCTTTCATCCTTGTCAAGGGACACAATCTGTGGTAAGCATTTGCCTACTTCTCCAGGCCAGCTCAGGTCTGATTGTGCTGTTTCCATACTTCCTTTACATAAATGTAATAAAACTAGCACTGGCCGCATTGAACCCTGGTTTATGTGGCTGTTACCCCTCTAAAAGGGGACTACTGCAAAGTGGCTGAACCATTCTGTTGGTTCAGCCAACAGAGTGGTGCAATGTCAGCTTGACTGGCTGTGGGATCAGCATAGGGTATCAATGGAGCGCACTTCTAGGTGTGTCTGGTTGGGTCATGGAGACACGGCTCTAGCTGTATCTGGCCCCTCACCCCTTCCTCTCTGGTGCTGCTCCCCTACTTTGCTTCTGGGGCACCATAAACTAAGCAGTCTTGCTCCTCCATGCCCTTCTACCATGCAGTTTTTCACATTGGAGTCAGCCAACCAGGGACTGAAACCTCCAAAACCATAAGCTAAATTAAACCTTCCCTCCTTTAAATTGTGAGTGCTGGATACTGTGTCCCATCAACAGGAAAGATGACTCATACCCTTTCCATTTCTGTATCCCTGCCCCAGCCTAAGACTGTAGAACAGGAGATGTGGTGATGGGAGATGAAAACAAAGAAAGATAGGAGGAACGGGAATCTTTCTGCTGGGTCCATCTTTGCTTCTCTCCTTCTTCCTTTGGACTGAGATTACTTCTTTAGTAGGTGAGTTTAGGGGATATAGAAGCAAATGAAAAAGGAACTGCTAGGAGGCATAGTTCATGGGTCAGAAAGAAAAGACTGAAACCCAGATTTCTCCCAAACTTGTTCAGGTTTCACTACCGGCAGGAGAAGAGGAGTCAGGGACCTACGGGGTAGCAATAGTGCCCAGGAATAAAGGAGGAAAGACAGCCTAATAGAGCTTCTCTCATGCACTGCTTGGAGAACTGAAGCCCAGGCTTCTAGGCTGGGTGAGCACCTCAGTAACTCTCTGTGCGTCATGTCTGAGCTGCATCTCTGATTAATTTTCAGTTGTTCCTATGAGATTCATATCAGAAGACGCAGCTCATCACAGCAATGTACAAATTATCCCCCAGCCTTACCTCGACAGGTCCTGTTGTCTGTGTGGAGGATGTAGCCGAAGCGGCAAGAGCAGTAGTAGCCACCGATATAGTTGTGGCAGTAGTGGTCGCAGGACAGCTCCTCATCCTCCCTCTCCTTGCACTCGTCCACATCTGCGGGGCAGGTACCTTCCAGTTAATGCACGCATGACGATGGACATGGGAACCAATATGCACAGAGCACTTAGCTGAGATGCTCGCTCATGGTTGAGAGGTTTGTGGTTTCTCTCATTCTGTCTTCCTACAGGGCCCCGGGGTGGTCATTCTCTTCCTTTCCTGAGCACCAAAACCAGAACTCTGGAGTACTTAGGCAACTTACCCAAGCTCACAGATAGCCAGGTTCCAACCGAGGCGACCTGACTCATTGTGGAAAGATTGTTTTTTGACAGTGGTAGTAATTACCATGCCAGGCAACAATCTCAGGACGCAGGACTGTTACTATCCTCATTTTAAAGAAGATGAAACTAAAAAGCCGGGCATGGCTGCACATGCCTGTAATCCCAGCACTCCGGAGGCTGAGGCAGGAGGATCTCTGTGAGTTCAAGACCAGCCTGGACTGCATAGTGAGTTCCAGGTCAGTCTCAACTACATAGTGAGACCCTGTCTCAAAACAAAACAAAAATAAATAAAGAAAGGAAGAAAGACGATGAAACGGAGACAAACAGAATCCAGGTGAGCTGGCTTCAGAGCTTGGGTTCTTAACTTCTACTCCTTTCTCTCTCTCTCTCTCTCTCTCTCTCTCTCTCTCTCTCTCTTCTTTCCTTCTTTTATTTCCCTCTAAACATCATAATCTTCAGGGAATACAATTTAAACCATAATGAAGTATCACTTCATACATACCACAATGGTTAAAATTTTAAAAATTGGCAATATCTAATGTTGCTAGTGATATGGGACAGCCATGCCCTACACTGCTGGACATATACAAAATGATGTAATTAGTTTGGAAAAGGACTGTTTTTTTTTTAAATAAAACTAACATGGCTACCTTCTGACCCAGTAACTCTATTTCTAGATATTTAGCCAAAACAAATAAAAACATATGTTCACAAAAAGAAGTATCAGAAGGTTCATAGAAACTTTATTAATGAGTCAAAAATAAGTTAGAGACCACGTGTTCACCAATAGGAGGAGGGATAAAAAGACTTATGGCATGAACGTTACTCTGCCAGGAAAAGGAATAAATTATTGATACATGCAGCAAAATAAAGAACATTATGCTGAGTAAAAGAATCCTCATCCTTCAAGTCTATTTTCTATGCGTTCATTTATGTGAAGTTTTAGAAGAGGCAAAGTAATCTATGGGTAAAATAATCAAAAGAATCATCTGCTCTGTGGGGTTTGGGAGCAAGGATTGACTGGGCAGGAGCACGAGGGAAATTTCTAGGCTGAAATTATTTTCCTGATAGGGGTTTGGAATATATACAAATACAAAATCTTTAACATTCAGCAAATGTACACTTAAGATTTGTGTATTTCATTGAATGTAAATTCCACACTTGAAAAAAAAAACCTGTGAACAGAGATGAAACTTAACACAATCTATACACGCTGAAGTATCCAGCAAGTAGAGGAGGAGCCTGTAATCACTTAGAAATGTATCAAAAAATATGAATAGCTGAGTATAGGAGAGATAGATGGTGTGGCGATTAGGGTGGGGCTTCAGTTTGATTGGCTTTGGGAGCTCCCTGGAGGGGTTGGCCTTGGTGTCTATGTCTGGTTCCTGCTCTCTTCTGCTCTGGCCCTGTTTCCTTGCTCTCTTTCCCCGCTACCATGAACTAAACAGCTTTGTTCTTTCACACCCTTCCTCTGTGTTGTTTCTGTCATGGAAGCAGAAGACTATGGATGAAACCCCCCAACCGCGAGTGAAGAGAACACCTTTAAGGTGTGGGTGTCAGATGTTGTGTCCCAGTAACAGGAAAGCTGGCTAATTCAGATAGACAGATATGTGGTGGGCTGAGTGCAGTAAGAAGTGAATGGTAGTCTTTGTTGTGAGTATATAGATGTCCATTGTCAAGAAGAACGCACAACGCTGTTTTCATCCTTATAGAAAAAGGCAGTCCTGGCACTGAGTCACCCAGTTACCCAACTTACCCACAGCCATGTAGTGGGCATCAAAGCCTGTGAATCGTTCCTCATTGGAGAAATCTGACCGGAAAGTGATGGACATGAAGGAGCCAGGGGAGAGGACCACTTCCTGGCCGGGGGTCTGCTCTGTATCTGTGGTCTCCCTCCCACAGAAGGTTGCCAGCGCCTGGTCTTCCGTTTCTACCTTTAAGGTTAAAGTGAAAGGGAACAAGATGAGTGGCTTCACATTTCAGCTCTGTCTCTGATCTCCAGGAGGAAAGAGGAAGGGGCTGCATATGAGTAGACCAGGCGTACAGTAGACCGGGAAACTCAAAGAAAGAGGGTTAGGCATTCTTGGGTTTAGGGAAGACACGTGACATGTGAAGTCAGGATGGCCATCTGATCAGTTTTATTCATTTGTTTTAGTTTCTTTAGAAGTGGCTTGTTATTTGTCATTCCTAATGCCAACCAAGTGACTTACTTATTGAAAAATAACTCATTGTTAAAATTTAACAAGAGTTAGATACCTTGGAGACAGATTCTGTATGCAATAGAATCTCACTATATTTCCAAACAAAGAAAGTTTAGACACAATATAAGTTATTCATTGAGAATCCAGTGTGTGCTGGCCACTGAGGATAGCATGAGTTGGGGGGTGATGAAAAAGAGAGAGAGCATAGGACCGTGCACAGGACTGCAGTGTTCAGACTAAGGAAAACAGACACAATAGGAGCTATTATGTAGCATGACAAGCACTTCAGTGTAAGTACTTAAAAGGTGGTGAAAATCCCCACTAGAACAGAAGCAATAGGAAATCAAGACAGTTCTTTATAGATATGCCCGCAGGGGGTGGGAGAGGATCTGGTGCATGGTAGTTAACTAATAAACACTCACTAAAGGTGCAGACCCATTCTGGGAACTATGCGAAGCCAGGGAGTCTGTAAAACTGTCCTAGGAGATGTTCTTGGAAGGATGTCTAGAAAGTAGATTATGACTGAGTGTGGATACTATTACTTCTTTAAGTAGAAGATACTAAAAACGTCCAAACAGGAAGTCATGAAATCAGAACTGTATTTAATAGGTAGTCTTTAAAATGCAGAAAGTATATTGAAATCATGTAGAAACTGTGTCTAGGTGTGTATGTTCAGACCCAGCCTACTTACTGAAAGAATTTCCAAATTTGAAAGAGCTGGAAGGCCCAGGGGAATTCGGAGAGCAAAGCAGAGATGCTAGGAAAAGCTCACTGTGTGTGTCTGGTTTGGCGTATACATCGGGCAGTCAGGTAGCTGGTTGGTGAATTTAGTTTGATTTGGATACTTGACCTACACACCGCTCCTGTCATCTCATGTGTAATTTGGTTCTTTTAAGCTTGTATTTGTGCTTGTAATTTCTGGAGGGAGGCTTTAGCCAAGATACATGAGAAAATCCAACTAAGAATGGTAAGTCATTAAAGGGAAGTTCCCAAAGGCAGTCTATCTCTAAGCAACTTCTATTAGATTCACTGTTTTGTTCATTAACTTAGTATGACAGAAGTATCTTGACATTTGACACTTCTGATTTGAAATTAATGGTTTATTTATTTAAAATAAGAAAGCGTTTTAAAGAAAAACAATTTGCCCTGGCAATGAAACACAAGGATAATTAATCACTAACATAGGGAATTGAAGTGTAAACAGAAAATGAGATCATGGCTTTGCTATTTGCTCTTCTTCTCTGCAGATTCCGTGAGTTCACAGCAGCCTCCTTGTGCTCTTCCTCACACAGCTCAAATATCACTTCTCTGAAGAACCCAGCTGCTGTGCTACTTTGGTGAACTGAGGTTTCTAGATAGCTGAAAGTCTACCTCACTGTAATCTTTCAAAGTTTTTTTTCCTTTTAGATGCAACGCTTCTTTGTGAAAAGAAAGTGCTTTATACAATCCCTGTTTTCTTACGTAAAACATGCTCACACTTACTTGGTGATCCAGGACATTCTTATGAGTTTCAGTTACCACATACAACATTAAAGGGAGATTCTTGGGGGATGTTGAGTTGTGTGAAATTGTTTGTCTAGCATGGAATGTTGTCAGACTATATGCCTTTGCAATTTTTATGTCTCTCTCTCTCTCTCTCTCTCTCTCTCTTTTTATTTTTATGAGACAAGGTCTCACTATGTAGTTGAGACTGACCTGGAACTCACTATGTAGCCCAGGCTGGTCTCGAACTCACAGCGATCCTCCTGCCTCAGCCTCCCGAGTGCTGGGATTACAGGCATGCACCACCATGCCCAGCTTATGTCTCTTTTATATAGTGTTCTTTTCCTGTCTTTTAATCAGTCTAGTAGTTGTACTTCTTGGTTTATTTTTAATATATTCTGAGAAACCACTTAACCTGCTCTTATTGGAGCTTAATAAAAAAGAAGACTAGATATATTTAGAGTGAGGCTTGTGAGACAGTGCTTCTATAAGAAACTGCATGAACTGAGTGCTCTGTCTTAGCCACCTCTGCTTTGGAGTACTGTACGGTGTGTGAACCCACTATTTAGAGGTCTTCATTCTACCATAATCTACTACATGATTGGTCCCTCTTTAGCACCCAGTTATGTGTCTGTAGAAAGGAGTTTGAACTTGCTGAGATCTAGGCTCCCTTCTACCTCTGAAAAACTAGTGTTCTAGCCAGTCAGCATTGCTATCCATTAAATAAACCAACCGGAAGACTGTGAATAGGAGTTTCAACATAGCGGTTGAGGCTTGTGGCCTGTTGATGGGCTTGATCAGGCTGAGCTTGTTTGTGATCTGTATCTGTGCGATACAAAACCAGTTACCAGTGAGTAGTTGTGCCTTGAGCACTAATAGCTCCTGCCACAGCAAACTTCCTTCCTATAACTTGGCATCCTCGGGGCCTCTTGTCTTCTGTAATGTTTGGGAAGTGGATATTTTCAACAGAAATGAACCAGAGATCATTTGGAATAGAGAGAGACTCACTGAGAATCTGTGATTAAAGTCTTCCCTTCTTGTAACTTCTGTGTTTAAGGAATTTTCATGATGACAGAGAGTCATCATCTGCACAATCACATTATTCCAGAGAACAGGGAAGTATGCCCCAGCGGAAGGAGAGCCATGGCAGAGAAGGGAAGGACAGGAGCCCAGGGCCCTGGGAAGTCAGCTTGCAGCCCCGACTAGAATCCTGGAAGAGCAGAGCTGGGAGGGACCTTTCAGAGTTATTCCGATTTCCCTTATTCTAGAGGAAACTGAGGCCCAGAAAGGGAAATGACTTGTTCAATGGCAGAGAGCTCACAGGAGCGTTTTCTGATATCAGTTTTGCTTCTGGAACTGTTCGGAGACTGGGGAACGGAACCACCTACCCAGAGAGTACATGACAAAGGACACTTGGTTAAACAATTTTCCTGGCTCAAGAGCTTCTTGGAACCTTATCTTGGGTGCATGGATTGTTTCCCAGAAAGGATGTGGCTCAGTGACAGCTCCAGCTCTAACCTAAACAGAGAGGTCACCAGCCTGCTTAATATTAGTATCCCCTGCTGTGGCTTATAAAGTTCTCCAAAGATCATTTGCCTCTAAGCACAGGCAGGAGGCTTTCTGTTCAGACTGTCTTATCTCTGATGTCATCAGATCAACATGGGGAGGGAGCTTATTGAGCAAAGTCCCCAAATTCATAACAATAGATTCCATGTGGCTGAGGATCATAGAGGCTTCATTTTTCTACTTTTTGTTGTGGGCAGCAGTGTCCTTGCAGACGCCTGTTATTTAGGGCACCAACATGTGGTTGCATGTACTTAATTTGTTTTGTTCTAACTCAATTTGACAAATATTTATGTACCAAATTCTGTCTGGACTTTAATGTGGAGGATGCCAAAAACTACTTATTTTGTGGCATGAGTTAAAAAGGCAAGTCTCCTGCATCTGGGAATGTGACATTTAGTAGAACCTCGGGAGCATTCATATGTGTACATTAGAATGTTGTCTGAGTTTGGCAACTTCAATGAAAGATGGGCAGCTTGGGGATTTAAAGAAGATAAAAATTGCAACCAGCTGAGGAGGACCAGAAACATTTAGGAGTGGGGATGTAGCTCAGTGGTAAAGCACTTGCCTAGCACATGCAAGCCCTCCTCAATTTGGTTTGATTCCCAGCTCTGGAAAAAAACAAAAACCAAAAACAAATACACAAAAAGTTTTGGGAGAGCAAATGCTCTTTGGGCTGGGGAGTGGGTGGTGAGTAGGATTCAGGCATAAGTAGAAAGAGTAGAAGGAGGTTGGGTGGTGTGGAGGAACAGCCTGGCACAGCGGGTAGTGAAGAATTGGAGCACCCGGAGTCTCAGCCAAGCTTTCTTGTACCACCTGGTGTAGGAGAGGAGCTCTGGTGAGAATTGAGCACTGGGCAACGGATCTTAGAAGAAAAAGCTAGAGTTTTCTATGAGTTCCCTGAAGCACAAACCTCCTAGGCAAAACTGCAGTAGGGCAGCAGGAAGTTTATCAGATTTCTATGGAAAGACTTCTAGGCACCCTTCACGTGGGCAGGGACTCATTGGCACAGTTCATAACCGCCTTGATCGTGCCCAGTCACCTTCTCCAAAGGAAGTACGGAGAGAGAAGTTCAGGAGTCATTGTCCTCATTTTATCGATGAAGGAATTGCAGCAGAGATTTAAGTGAATCAGCAAAGTAAGTGTGAATCCAGAGAATGAGGAGCTATCTCTTGAGTGGGGAATCAATTTAGTGAGTGGTGGGACCAGGTTCACAGTGACAGCCAAGCATCCAGATTCCCTAGCCTACACTTCTTTAATATATGAGGCAACAAAGACGCTCCTACAGCCCAGGTGCCTCATGACTTGGCTTATCAGTGTTCACAAGCTTCATGTGAAGCCTTTCCAAAACATACTCTGGGCTTTTGAAGAACATTTCTGACTACATTTAGGCAGACCTTCACAATGAGGGCTGGATTCTCTTGTTAAAGGATTTTGTTAATATGGGAAATATATTCCCCAGAATCTCTTTCCCTCTGTAGTCCCAGATTAGAGTGGGTCCAGCTGGGAATAAGTGCAAATTTGGAAGAAAATAGTCATTACTCCCTGAAGGTTGTTTTGGACACTTGTAGAACTGCCCAACAGGTTTTAATCTGCCCACTTCCTCTTTTCTGAGCCCAACTCTTCCTTCCGTCTGTTGGCTCTAGTGACCAATAGTGTGGTTGGTTCCTGTCATCAGTGGCTTTCAA